ATTCGCGGTCTCCCTCTTGATTTTCCGACTGTAAGTCAGGATTAATTGCTCTTCTGTTATCCTTAGAACAATTCCCCATAGTCTGACCTATTAGTAAAGCATGTGATTACATAAATATCCAATACCCCTATACAGAGACTCAAGTTTGTAACTACTTGTATGCTTTGGAGTCACCTATTACTTGCTCCTGCATTAGTTATTTTCTGTGGATTAGAAGTAGCCTGTAGAATGTGATTGTTTGTTTAACACGATATAACTGGATATGCTTACTCTGACAACTAATTTTGTTAGGTGATCAAAATTATGAAATTTTTTTTATTAATTTAATGGTTAAAAGTAATAATAAAATAATTTATTTTTATTATTTAATAAATTGAAATTAATTTATAAATATATATTTTTAAATATCTTAATTATTTATATAAAAAAGTATAAATAAATAAAATTAAAAATAAAATTAAGAATCTTTATTAATGGTGTCAATAACCTCTCATTTTCTTTCTCAATGATGAACATGCTTCTAAGTAAATTAATTGCGTTTGATTAGGAATTAAATTGAACCTCATCTAATGGCAGGTAGTTGTTCAATTGGGTCAGTTGAGCTTTCAGTTGGTTACTGTTTAGGTTGTCAGTTTCAGTTTTCTCCTTCCAACGAGGGCGCCCTGAGAATTAAAAAAGAAAAAAAAAAAATGGAACCACATCTTGACACTATAATGGAAGTGGAGTTGACATTTCTCTAACGATGTTTACCCAACACATTTTGAGAACATTAATTATTAACATAAGTAATGCTAGGTTTGGGAAGTTCTGCTGGGACCCTTCCTTGGATTTGGTAATTAAGAATAATATTGCTCAGCATAAGATGGGATCTCATTTGTAGACCAAAGCGACTTGGAGGATTAAGCCTCCGGGATTTTAGAGCTTTCAATTTAGCTATGTTGGGAAAGTAAAGCTGGCGTATGATGCAGGAGAGGACCACCTTATGCTATCAAGTCCTCAGAGTTAAATACTTTCCCGATGGAGATTTCTTGGGAGCTTCTGCAGGAGCTAACGCTTCTATGGTCTGGCAAGGGGTTGTTGCTGGCCTTGGTATTCTTAAATTGGGATCAACATGGAGAATAGGTACTGGACAGGACGTCAGACTTTGGAGAGACAACTAGTTGCCTTCTGGGGCCATCCCTCGGCCACAGTCTGCTCTTGTTTACCAGGACATGGATGATAGGGTCAGTGCTTTAATAGATGTAAATAAAGGCTGCTGGAAGTAAGGAGATGTTCGACAACAGTTCTGTGCAGAAGATGCAGAGAGCATTCTACACATCAACCTTAGTAGAAGCTGCTCCTTTGATAGATTAATATGGCTTGGGACCAACAATGGCAAATTTTCGGTTAAATCTACATACAAATATGCTTGGGAGTTGATCTTTGGCACTCAATATCACGCCCATGATCAATTCCTGAAACCAGTTTGGAAAGTGCAGAACAAATAAGGAGTACCAATGGTATTAATACCCAGAATCCGTTAATGAGTGGGGAGAAACTTGCGATTCCATTGCCATGCACATGCTTTGACAATGTTAACAATGGGATTGCTTCAGTGTACTCGTCATATGTAGTGCAAAGGGGGGATAGTTTGGCCAGCATTGGGGCTCAATTTGGAGTAAGTACTATGAACTTGGTGGCAGTGAATGGGCTCAGCCAGCCGGGAGTTGATCCTGGAGACATACTCTCCATCGCAATTGCAGGTCAGTCATTCTAAAAGTCTAAGCTATCATTAAAAGTTCGAGCTAGTCAGAGCATGAATAAATGTAGATTTCTCCATTAAAGTTCTTCACATAATGGTGAAACTGGGAAACCAACGTTCTTATCCTTCCATATCTGATTATGTCGGTCCAAGAGACTAACATTTATGGACTTGAGCTGTACAATAGCATCATTAACATGATTCTTCTTAGATTTACAGCATGTTCATCTGCAAACCTCAACTGGTACAATGAGAGCCTAATTGTTCCCAATGGATCATATGCTCTTACTGCCAACAGCTGCATCAAATGTTCTTGTGGACAGCATGACCTCAAGTAAGCTAGAATTTTTTCTTTTCTTTTTTTCTTTTTTTGCAAGCATATTAGCCTATTAGGCATTAATTACCCTGTGATGATTGATCAGTTTGCGATGCGGGCCCTCTGGTATTGAAACCACATGCTCTCTGTTATCTGAGCTTTTTATTGGCGACTCACATGTGGATCAGACGGCTACAGGGTGTAACATCACTACTTGTGTTTACCGTGGCCATCTTGG